ACTCTCAAGCAAAGCTTCTGATGGACACGCAAAGAAATCCTCGACCACCGAAGACATTTCGTTCGTATGTTTTATACACAATAACACAATCGAACCTACTAGCTAACACACGTGAGACGCTGTTTACTCAAAATACAATTCCCAGCCACAGCTTCAAAAAGGAACTACGTCACCGTATACGCAACCTCATTCACAAAATTTTCAAAGACTTCCCACAAGTCAAAACACAGTGTAAGCGTAAAATAAACTGCACTATACACGCAATCTCAACGATTTTCCCTTTTTTTTTTTTTTGTAGAATGGATTTACCACTTATAATATAAGAGAACTCCAGCTCCTAACTCAGAAAAACAATAACTAAATCCTACCTGGTCTTCAGAGATGTACCGGGCTCGAGGCGACATTAAACGCTGAACTCCGCAACTATCAGTCAAACTGAAAGTCCGGAAGCGTACCCCCTACAGAGAGTTAATCTCCACCCAGGATAACCTCCAAAAACAAGAAAGGCAAAATAACAAAACAAAACAACAAACAGTGCTCCGACGGAAGGATTGTATTCACAATCCAGCTGGAAACACTCTAACTCACCAGAGTTCTCATTTATAAAGGTAACCATTCACAAAAACATACACACATACAACCCATACTTACCAACGTTTCCTACCCCAATAGGATCGCGGACGAGACTCCAATTTATGTTACGGCCAGCTCGTTTCGGCCGTACATAAAGTAAACAAGTACACCGAAAATGACTTGCAAGATTTTATTCGTCCTCAAAAATCACAATAAACTGAATATAACAAAGTCTAGGGTTTCAAATCAAAAGGGTCAAAATCATAATCCGGTTGGGGAGTAAAAGAAGGTTGGTATGGGCTGTAAATCAAAAGGTTCGAATGACTTCGCCAGAGGCTGTCAGTCCCCCTGGACGAAGTGAAGATGAGATGTTCAATCCAAGGTTTTATCCTCTTCATAATCAAAGATGATCGGAGGAAGCAGGTGTGTGCGATCTCCCACGCTCTCTCAGAGCAACACCGCCACCAGCAGGCGAGCAAGCAGAACACAGGGTCGTAACAACACACACACCCAGAGGAGTGAGTAGTAAACACACACACACACTTAGAGGAGTGAGTAGTTAACACACACACACACCCGGAGGAGTGAGTAGTGAACACACACACACACCCAGAGGAGTGAGTAGTGAACACACACACACACTCGGAGGAGTGAGTAGTGAACACACACACACACACACACACACAGAGGAGTGAGTAGTGAACACACACACACCCAGAGGAGTGAGTAGTGAACACACACACACACACTTAGAGGAGTGAGTAGTGAACACACACACACACACACACAGAGGAGTGAGTAGTGAACACACCCGGAGGAGTGAGTAGTGAACACACACACACACACACAGAGGAGTGAGTAGTGAACACACCCGGAGGAGTGAGTAGTGAACACACACACACACACACAGAGGAGTGAGTAGTGAACACACCCGGAGGAGTGAGTAGTGAACACACACACACACACCCGGAGGAGTGAGTAGTGAACACACACACACACCCGGAGGAGTGAGTAGTGAACACACACACACCCGGAGGAGTGAGTAGTGAACACACACACACACACACACACCCGGAGGAGTGAGTAGTGAACACACACACACACCCGGAGGAGTGAGTAGTGAACACACACACACACACACCCGGAGGAGTGAGTAGTGAACACACACACACACACCCGGAGGAGTGAGTAGTGAACACACACACACCCAGAGGAGTGAGTAGTGAACACACACACACACACTTAGAGGAGTGAGTAGTGAACACACACACACACCCGGAGGAGTGAGTAGTGAACACACACACACACCCGGAGGAGTGAGTAGTGAACACACACACACACTCGGAGGAGTGAGTAGTGAACACACACACACACACACACAGAGGAGTGAGTAGTGAACACACACACACACACACTTAGAGGAGTGAGTAGTGAACACACACACACACCCGGAGGAGTGAGTAGTGAACACACACACACACACACACCCGGAGGATTTAGTAGTGAACACACACACACACACACTTAGAGGAGTGAGTAGTGAACACACACACACACACTAGGGCTGCACGATTAATCGAATTTTAATCACGATCGCGATTTTGGCTTCCCACGATCAAATTCGCGTGACCGAGCGATATTTAAAATGCATCATTACATTCACAGAACACTCCGTATCAAAGGGTTTTTTTTTTTTGTAAAGCCAATCTAGCGCTCCGTAAACCACTGTCTGATCACGTGCCTCCATGAGCCCGAGTGCGCGAGAGAGACCGTCTGCGAGCGAGCGACAGTGCACGAGAGACCGAGTGTCCAAGAGCGCGCTCGAAAGTGCGCGAGAGATACCGAGTGTGTCTGCGTACGAGCGACAGCGCGCGAGAGAGACCGATTGTGTCTGCGCGCGAGAGAGACCGAGTGACGGTGCGCGTGAGAGACCGAGTGTGAGCATTAGTAAATTGGTACATACATACTACATATTAATATGGCATGAAAGTTCGATTAATGGACTCCAATAATCAGTACTACAAACTCTTGTTTTGAACTATTGTTTAATAAGTAGAAATAATTCAAGCACATACACTTTGGAGGATTAAATAAGATTCAATTTATGCAGTAAGACTAATCACTGACACTGTACCACAACATTTTACATTTCTTAAGCGTCAAATAACAATGACTCTGAATTTCATCCATTAATCGAACTTCCATAGTGCTAAGTGCTTAGTTCTGCCTTGAAATGTTCTCATTTGGTTACATTCTGTTATGGAATATTTGTTTTTTATTGATTGTATATTTTGTGCGTTTTATTCACATCCATTATGCAGGTACAATGCAAGTTTATATTTTTATTTTATATTTACACAATGTAAAATAGTGCCCTGTTGAAGTTTTGCTACATTTTCTTTATTGATTTATTTGTTTTTATTTATTCTTTAAGAGATGCACTGAATTTTGGTGAATAAGAGGACCTGTTTTATTTTGATGCACATAGTTGTACATTAGCAGGAATGTAGCATAATGTGAAAGCAGTTATAATTAGCCTATGTGACAATAACATTTGTTTTGGTTAAAATCAACAAATAATCGTGATAATTAATCGTGATCTCAATATTGATAAAAATAATCGTGATTATCATTTTGGCCCAAATCGTGCAGCCCTAACACACACACACACACACACACAGAGGAGTGAGTAGTGAACACACACACACACACACACACTCGGAGGAGTGAGTAGTGAACACACACACACACACACACACACACACACAGAGGAGTGAGTAGTGAACACACACACACCCAGAGGAGTGAGTAGTGAACACACACACACACTTAGAGGAGTGAGTAGTGAACATACACACACACACACACACACCCGGAGGAGTGAGTAGTGAACATACACACACCCAGAGGAGTGAGTAGTGAACACACACACACACTTAGAGGAGTGAGTAGTGAACACACACACACTCGGAGGAGTGAGTAGTGAACACACACACACACACACTTAGAGGAGTGAGTAGTGAACACACACACACACACACCCGGAGGAGTGAGTAGTGAACACACACACACACACTCGGAGGAGTGAGTAGTGAACACACACACACACTCGGAGGAGTGAGTAGTGAACACACACACACACACTTAGAGGAGTGAGTAGTGAACACACACACACACACACCCGGAGGAGTGAGTAGTGAACACACACACACACACTCGGAGGAGTGAGTAGTGAACACACACACACACTTAGAGGAGTGAGTAGTGAACACACACACACACACACCCGGAGGAGTGAGTAGTGAACACACACACACACACTCGGAGGAGTGAGTAGTGAACACACACACACACCCGGAGGAGTGAGTAGTGAACACACACACACACACACACCCGGAGGAGTGAGTAGTGAACACACACACACACACACACACCCGGAGGAGTGAGTAGTGAACACACACACACACACACACACCCGGAGGAGTGAGTAGTGAACACACACACACACACACCCGGAGGAGTGAGTAGTGAACACACACACACACTCGGAGGAGTGAGTAGTGAACACACACACACACACACACCCGGAGGAGTGAGTAGTGAACACACACACACACACACACCCGGAGGAGTGAGTAGTGAACACACACACACACACACACACCCGGAGGAGTGAGTAGTGAACACACACACACACACACACCCGGAGGAGTGAGTAGTGAACACACACACACACACACACACCCGGAGGAGTGAGTAGTGAACACACACACACACACACACACCCGGAGGAGTGAGTAGTGAACACACACACACACACACCCGGAGGAGTGAGTAGTGAACACACACACACACTCGGAGGAGTGAGTAGTGAACACACACACACACACACACCCGGAGGAGTGAGTAGTGAACACACACACACACACACACCCGGAGGAGTGAGTAGTGAACACACACACACACACACACACACACCCGGAGGAGTGAGTAGTGAACACACACACACACACACACCCGGAGGAGTGAGTAGTGAACACACACACACACACGCGCTGACCATCGACTGAGAATAAGAGCATCATAAACACAGAACTGAGTTTTTCTCTAGTCCTGCCCTGATGAAGCTGTTCCTCGTAACTGATGCTTACGTCTATTCCACAAGACACAGTAATAACTGCACTGACACACATGACCCTGACCGTGTGTGTGTGTGTGTGTGTGTGTGTGTGAAGCTGAGATCCGAGGGACTCAAACACAACTATTACAGAAGCAAAGGTGTTATGAAGAGCCAGGAGGATGGAATAGAATAGAAATTATTATTATTTTGTCTTGTGAAAAATCTCTTACAGTATCTTCTGAAGGGCAAGTACTAAATAAAAATAACATTGTGTTAATGTGTGTGTGGACATCTCTGCCGGGTTCAGGCGGTGGATGAGTTCTTCTCTAAGATGGAGGGCCAGAAGCTGGACATGAAGGCGCTTCAGCAGGAGAAGCAGGCGCTGAAGAAGCTGGAGAACGTGCGGCGAGACCATGAGCAGCGGCTGGAGGCTCTTCATCAGGCGCAGGCCAGTCCTCACACACACACACACACTCACCACACCTCACACACACACTCACCTCACACACACACCACACCTCACACACACACACACACACACCACACCTCACACTCACCTCACACACACACTCACCTCACACACACACACACACTCACCTCACACACACCACACCTCACCTCACACACACACACACACACACTCACCTCACACACACACACACACACACACACACACACTCACCTCTCACACACACACACACACACTCAACTCACACACACCACACCTCACACACACACACATCTCACCTCACCCACATCTCACCTCACACACACACACACACACACACCACACCTCACACACACACTCACCTCACACACACACACACACTCACCTCACACACACCACACCTCACCTCACACACACACACACACACACTCACCTCACACACACACACACACACACACACTCACCTCTCACACACACACACACACACTCAACTCACACACACCACACCTCACACACACACACATCTCACCTCACCCACATCTCACCTCACACACACACACACACACACACCACACCTCACACACACACACCACACCTCACACACACATGTTGTGTTTTCATGTTTTATGGGGACTTTCCATAGACATAATGATTTTTATACTGTACAGACTGTATATTCTATTCCCTTACACTAACCCTATCCCTAAACCTACCCATCACAGGAAACATTCTGCATTTTTACATTTTCAAACAACATCACTTAGTATGATTTATAAGCTGATTTCCTCATGGGGACCAAAAAATGTCCCCACACGAACAAGGATTTCGGATATTGCCATCCTTGTGGGGACATTTTGTCCCCATAACGTAGGGTTTACCAGGCCACACACACACACACACACACACACACACACACACTCACCTCACACACACACACTCACCTCACACACACCACACCTCACACACACACACACACACACACACACACACTCACCTCACACACACACACTCACCTCACACACACCACACCTCACCTCACACACACACACACACACACTCACCTCACACACACACACACACACACACACTCACCTCTCACACACACACACACACACTCAACTCACACACACCACACCTCACACACACACACATCTCACCTCACCCACATCTCACCTCACACACACACACACACACACACCACACCTCACACACACACACCACACCTCACACACACATGTTGTGTTTTCATGTTTTATGGGGACTTTCCATAGACATAATGATTTTTATACTGTACAGACTGTATATTCTATTCCCTTACACTAACCCTATCCCTAAACCTACCCATCACAGGAAACATTCTGCATTTTTACATTTTCAAACAACATCACTTAGTATGATTTATAAGCTGATTTCCTCATGGGGACCAAAAAATGTCCCCACACGAACAAGGATTTCGGATATTGCCATCCTTGTGGGGACATTTTGTCCCCATAACGTAGGGTTTACCAGGCCACACACACACACACACACACACACACACACACACACACTCACCTCACACACACACACTCACCTCACACACACCACACCTCACACACACACACACACACACACACACACACTCACCTCACACACACACACTCACCTCACACACACCACACCTCACACACACACACACACATCTCACCTCACACACATCTCACCTCACACACACACACTCACCTCACACACACACACACACTCACCTCACACACACCACACCTCACCTCACACACACACACACACACTCACCTCACACACACACACACACTCACCTCACACACACCACACCTCACCTCACACACACACACACACACACTCACCTCACACACACACACACACACACACACTCACCTCTCACACACACACACACACACTCAACTCACACACACCACACCTCACACACACACACATCTCACCTCACCCACATCTCACCTCACACACACACACACACACACACCACACCTCACACACACACACCACACCTCACACACACATGTTGTGTTTTCATGTTTTATGGGGACTTTCCATAGACATAATGATTTTTATACTGTACAGACTGTATATTCTATTCCCTTACACTAACCCTATCCCTAAACCTACCCATCACAGGAAACATTCTGCATTTTTACATTTTCAAACAACATCACTTAGTATGATTTATAAGCTGATTTCCTCATGGGGACCAAAAAATGTCCCCACACGAACAAGGATTTCGGATATTGCCATCCTTGTGGGGACATTTTGTCCCCATAACGTAGGGTTTACCAGGCCACACACACACACACACACACACACACACACACACTCACCTCACACACACACACTCACCTCACACACACCACACCTCACACACACACACACACACACACACACACACTCACCTCACACACACACACTCACCTCACACACACCACACCTCACACACACACACACACATCTCACCTCACACACATCTCACCTCACACACACACACTCACCTCACACACACACACATCTCACCTCACACACACACACACACTCACCTCACACACACACACATCTCACCTCACACACACACACTCACCTCACACACACACATCTCACCTCACACACACCTCACACACACACACTCTCACCTCACACACACCACACCTCACACACACCTCACACACACACACACACACCACACCTCACACACACAAACACATCTCACCTCACACACACCTCACCTCACACACACACACTCACCTCACACACACACACTCACCTCACACACACCACACCTCACACACACATCTCACCTCACACACACCACACCTCACACACACACACACACACACACTCACCTCACACACACTCACCTCACACACACCACACCTCACACACACACACACATCTCACCTCACACACATCTCACCTCACACACACACACACACACACACACTCACCTCACACACACACATCTCACCTCACACACATCTCACCTCACACACACACACACACTCACCTCACACACACACACACACACACACACACACACCTCACACACACACACACACACCTCACACACACACACTCACCTCACACACACACACACACATCTCACCTCACACACATCTCACCTGACACACACACACTCACCTCACACACACACACATCTCACCTCACACACACACACCACACCTCACACACACACACTCACCTCACACACACACACATCTCACCTCATACACATCTAACTCTGACTCAACATCCTTCATGAGTATAGACGCAACACATTTTTCAAAACATTTTGATTTCATTACAATCGAGGTTAAAGCTATGGGACGAAAGTCATTCTTTTGACGCGAGTGGTTCTGACACATAGACGTGACGGACTATAATGCGTTAACAGCTCGCTCAAGCACTGGGAGCTAAACCATTTAGTGCTTTGTAAGTAATCAGCAATATTTTAAAATGTATACGATGTTTAATAGGGAGCCAATGCAGTGTTGACAGAACCGGGCTTATATGGTCATACTTCCTGGTTCTGGTAAGAACTCGAGCTGCTGCGTTTTGGACCAGCTGGAGTTTGTTTATTAAGCGTGCAGGGCAACCACCCAGTAGAGCATTACAATAATCTAGCCTTGAGCTCATGAACGCATGAACTAATTGTTCCGCATTTGTCAATGAGAGCATATGGCGTAATTTAGACTTATTTTTAAGATGGAAGAATGCAGTTTTACAGATACTAGACACGTGACTTTCAAATGAAAGATTGGTATCAGAAGAGAAGAGAATATGTCTGCTGTATGAAGTCAGTCTGCTGAACATGCGCGTGTGTGTGTGTGCGTGCGTGTGTGTGTGTGCGTGCGTGTGTGTGTGTGTGTGTGTGCGTGTGTGTGTCTGTGCATGCGTGTGTGTGTGTGCAGGAGGTGGACCGGCTGAAGGGAGAGCTGGTGGAGATGAACCTGTCGACGGTGGAGCGCGCGCTGACGGTGGTGCGCAGTGCGCTGGCCAATCAGGTGGACTGGGCGGAGATCGGGCAGATCGTGAAGGAAGCTCAAGCGGCCGGAGATCCCGTGGCCTGCGCCATCAAAGAGCTGAAGCTGCAGAGCAATCACATGACCATGCTGCTGAGGTGACACACACACACACACACACGATCACATGACCATGCTGCTCAGGTGACACACACACACGATCACATGACCATGCTGCTGAGGTGACACACATCACATGACCATGCTGCTCAGGTGACACACACACACACACACACACGATCACATGACCATGCTGCTCAGGTGACACACACACACACACACGTGTGATCACATGACCACAGCGCTCGCTCGCTCCTCCTCTGTCCCTCAGAAACCCGTATGTGGCTCCAGAGGACGGAGAGCCGGGACACACGGACTCCAGCAGGACCTCTGAGGAACCAGCGCCGCTGAAGGGCAGGAAGAGCAAGAGCCGGGAGAGCGGGCCGAGAGGAAAACTGGACAGGGACAAACCGGTTCTGGTGGACGTGGATCTGAATCTCTCGGCCTACGCCAACGCAAAGAAGTGAGTGTTGGTGTGAACGCTGTGAATCCAATTTTCAATCTGGTTTCCGATCGCATCACAGCACAGAGACAGCGCTCATAAAGATAATAAACGATATTCGCTTAAAATGCTGATACAGGCAAATTATCAGTGCTGGTACTACTCGACCTCAGTGCTGCATTGACACTGTCGATCACGACATTACTTCTTGACACGCTGAAAAACTGGGTGGGGCTTTCTGGATAGTCCTAAAATGGTTCAGGTCATACTTAGAAGGAGAGGTTATTATGTGAGTATAGGAGACATAAGTCTGAGTGGACATCCATGACATGCGGAGTCCCTCAAGGCTCAATCTTGCACCACTCCTGTTCAACCTGTACATGCTCCCAATGAGCCAAATAATGAGAAAGAACCGAATCTCTTACCACAGCTATGCAGACGACACACAGCTCTACATACACACACACACACACACACACCACACACACACACACACACACACACACACACACACACACACACACACAGCTCTACTTAGCCCTATCGCCTAACGACTACAGCCCCATTGACTCCCTGTGCCAATGCATCGATGAAGTAAACGGTTGGATGTGCCAAAACTTTCTTCAGTTAAACAAAGGCAAAACTGAAGTCATTGCGTTGGAAACAAAGAGGAAGTTCTCAAGGTGAATGCATACCTTGACGCTAAGGGTCTAACAACTAAAAATCAAGTCAGGAATCTTGGTGTGTCTCTAGAGTCAGACCTTAGTTTCAGTAGTCATGTCAAAGCAATAACTAAATCAGCATACTATCATCTGAAAAATATTGCAAGAATTAGATGCTTTGTTTCCAATCAAGACTTAGAGAAACTTGTGCATGCTTTTATCACCAGCAGGGTGGATTATTGTAATGGACTCCTCACTGGCCTTCCTAAAAAGACCATAAGACAGTGGCAGCTCATACAGAACGCTGCTGCCAGAATCCTGAGCAGAACCAGAAAATATTAAAACATCACACCAGTCCTCAGGTCTTTACACTGGCTCCCAGTTACATTTAGGATTGATTTTAAAGTATTATTACTGGTATATAAATCATTCAATGGGCTAGGACCTCAATATATTGCAGATATGCTCACTGAATATAAACCTAACAGATCACTCAGATCATTAGGATCACATCAGCTAGAAATACCAAGGGTTCGCTCTAAGCATGGAGAGTCTGCTTTTAGCTATTATGCTGGACCAGCTTCCAGAGGAGATCAGATGCGCTCCTACAGTAGTCACTTTCAAATCCAGATTTAAAACACATCTGTTTAGCTATGCATTTACTGAATGAGCACTGTGCCACTGTCCGTCCGACTGTTTTTACTGTACTGGTTTTGTCTTTGTTTGTTTTCTAATTTCTAATTTATTTATTTTTATAATCTCTGGAAGAGATTTTGAAGGAGAGCGGGAGAGTCTTCACTCCGATGAGGCGAGTGAAGGAGTAAGTTATACTGCTGTATAAGAAGTCGCTGAGAGCGTGGTTAGGGGGAACGGCAGCAGACAAGCGCACACGAAGCGTGATCTGTGGGGGCCCCCGCTGGGCATTACTGGTGTAGCACCACCCCAGCAGAGTACGTCCCTGGGCTAGAGGTCCAGATGCACCGTAAACCGGCTCAATCTCTTCCATCTCAGATAGGGGTGGACCAGTACTACTTTATTTGATTTTTTATTCTAAACTGTTTTAATTATTCTTACTTGTTTTGATTATTTTAATTTCTTCTATGTAAAGCACTTTGAATTGCCATTGTGTATGAAATGTGCTATATAAATAAACTTGCCTTGCCTTGCTTGTGAGCTGATGCTGAGCAACTCGTTCACGGACGCATCCATCTCTCCACAGGTACTACGACTGCAAGAGAAGCGCCGCCAAGAAAGAGCAGAAAACCGTGAAGCGGCACAAAAGGTGAGAAGAGACGAGAGTGTGTTTATTATCGCCTGCGGCTTTGTTGAATGACTCTGTTTTTTTTGTCTTGATTCAAGGCCTTCAAAATCTGCTGAGAAAAAGACCAAACAGACACTGAAAGAAGTGCAGACGGTGACCAGCATTCAGAAGGCCAGGAAGGTGTACTGGTAAAGCAACGCGTGTGTGTGTGTGTGTGAGTGAGCGAGTGTGAGTGAGAGAGTGTGAGTGAGAGAGTGTGAGTGAGAGAGTGTGAGTGAGAGAGTGTGAGTGAGAGAGTGTGTGTGTGAGAGTGAGGGTGTGAGAGTGTGTGAGAGTGAGTGTGAGTGTGTGTGTGAGAGTGAGTGTGTGTGAGAGTGTGAGTGTGAGTGTTGTGTGAGAGTGTGAGTGTAAGAGTGAGTGTGAGTGTGAGAGTGTGTGTGTGAGTGTGAGAGTGTGAGTGAGAGAGTGTGTGTGAGAGTGTGAGTGTGAGTGTGTGTGTGTGTGTTTGTGTGTGAGAGAGAGAGTGTGTGTGTGTGTGAGAGTGAGGGTGAGGGTGTGAGTGTGAGAGTGAGTGTGAGAGTGAGTGTGAGAGTGAGTGTGAGAGTGAGTGTGAGAGTGAGTGTGAGTGTGAGTGTGAGAGGGAGAGTGAGAGTGAGTGTGAGAGTGAGTGTGAGAGTGAGTGTGAGAGTGAGTGTGAGAGTGAGAGGGAGTGTGAGTGTGAGTGTGAGTGTGAGAGTGAGTGTGAGAGTGAGTGTGAGAGTGAGAGTGAGTGTGAGAGTGAGTGTGAGTGTGAGTGTGAGAGTGAGTGTGAGAGTGAGTGTGAGAGTGAGAGGTTGAGTGTGAGAGTGAGAGTGAGGGTGTGTGAGAGTGAGAGTGTGTGTGAGAGTGTGA